CGCCTGCTTTGTCGGCGCAGATTAATCTCAGAGCTGCGAGGCACTTTGCCGCGTGGCGCTTATCGAGGCGCTGAAAAAGGAGCAGATGAGGCTCTGCGCCGCTCTGCGGGGGCCCCGAGGATAACCAGGACATTACGCCCTCCTTTACATTGCTGAGCGCGCCGGGCGGCGGGCGGCCGGCCGGCCCAGACGCGGCGCAGACGCTCGGCGGGTCGCCCTTTAGTCGCCCCTAATGCGCCATCAAGAGAGGGGCATGAACGCTCCTAAAAGTCGGTGAGGAGCTCATCAAAGCGACGCCGCCGCCGGGGGCCGTGGGTAGGACGGGTGGGCCACCGCGGGTAGGAAGAGAAGGCCGGGGGAAGGGGGGGGGCATCGTGTTTTGGGGATCGCGGTGCAACCATTTTAGAGAGGGCCTATCTGAGGTGGATCGGAGCGGCAAATGGGCTGGCGAGCGCCGAGCGGTAGACATGACGGACATGGGCGCGGGCGCAGAGGCGCAGCACTACCCGCCCGCTGCTCGCCCTGCTCGCTCTCCGGCAGCGCCCGCTGCTCGCCCTGCTCGCTCTCCGGCAGCGCTAGCGGCCAATCAGGCCGTTCACCTTGCTGTATGTGCCCCTCATTCCCCGTTTAAAATGCCGCGGCTCGACGCCGTGGCGGCAGTTTTGAAAAACTCTGAATAATGTCTTGTTTATAGTAGGCACTGTTCTTCCCGGACATTATCTCAGTGCCCTGTTCGAACGTGAGCAGGCAAGCGAGGTTGTCATCAACATGATTGTTTCTCGCTCTGAGGACGCACAATACCGAACACTTGGCTGCATATGCTGCTGCGTCTCCTGCTTGACGTCATGGGTCGTAATCAGCGGCAGTGATTCGCGCCCAAACATAACGGATCGCCATTGCGCGCCCTGCGGCCTGGGCGGCGTGTCGAGACGAGGCGCGGTGGACGCGGCCGGCAGCGCCCTGAGCGAGCAGCGCCCTGAGCAGCGCCCTGAGCAGCGCCCTGAGCAGCGCCCTGAGCAGCGCCCTGAGCAGCGCCCTGAGCAGCGCCCTGAGCAGCGCCCCACAGCACCTCGCGCCCTTCGCCCTCCGCTAGACATTTGTCTCCCCGCGCCGGGCCGCCCTGTGGGCCTTTGGGCCACACCGTGCCAGAAATAAAGCTCGAATCCGTCGCGGGTTCGACGAAGGGGGCCCTTCTCGACCACTCTCCCCAGTACATCATGTGTCCCCTCGCTGTCCCGTGTGTCGGGCCCTTCGTTAGCGCCCGTGGTCAGGTGGCGTGGCGTAGCGTGATAAGCCATTGGGGCCTTCGCGCCCCGTCAGGCGGTCGGGGAAATAGGACGAAGACGAACTGGAGAGAGCCTGGAAGTCAGAAGGCTCCGAAGAGTTCCTCGAGGTGGGGGCATTAGCCTCGCGTTGCCCCCCCCCCCCCCGGTCCCATTCTTCCACCTCCTTCTTCTCTTATTCTCCACTCCAGTGTTTCATCCTAGTGCCAGCCTGGGAACATAAGCTGGATAGAGCGCTAGAAATCGGTCCTAGCTTTGTGACATCAAAACATTGGAAATAAAAACACACACCTCGGGATGATTAGCCCGGCTTCAAATGGCAGAATTAGGTAAAGAGTGGAGAACGCTGTCCACCCACCACCGAGTCTAGGGAGGACACTAAAAATTTCATTCTTCCTGACATCCTGTCGGCCGGCCTCCTTTGGCCATTTCAGTGTTTTTTTCTCCCTGCCTCGCGCTTAATTGCTT